TACCTGAGGGAGAGGTTTTGATCCATCATATCATCTTGTAGGTGCCGCCAAGATGACACAAGCCAAGCCATCATAGTTGCAAAAGGAATGTTAAAGGGAAACATGTGTTCTAATAAACATATATGAACATATGAGAGGAGAGCTTTATTTTTGGTATACGCATATTGGTATACAATTGATACTTCCCATGATCTAGTGTTTGGGATTCACTTATATGGAAATAATTGAGAAGTCAAAAGAAAAAGTTGTGGTTAAACAAACAAACAAAAAGGAAGCTTATAGTGAACATTATCTTTCATGCTTACTTCCTAAGATTAGGAACAAGGTAAGTAGGTGGTTACTTAATTCTCCTTCACTTGGTACTGGAAGCTCCGGTATTACTGGACCAGAAAGGGAACTAAAGCGTTCCATGTTGGAAGGAAGAAGCAGAACTGCCTCCACTTGAAGATTATATGCCTAAAATCTTTACACAGAAATCTCAATCTCCTTTCTAATGCACTGTATCTGAAAGCATGGTTGTTCATAGAGCACACTTTATGCATCCTTCTACAGAAGGTAGGTAATTTAATTGCTTAGGAAATAAAAGTGAATGTCTTTAGAAGGCAGATTAGTGGTGGGTGGGTAGTGTCCAGACCCTGAAATTAACCCTTGATCTATTTAGTTTGCTAATAATATACATGATATAGACAGATATTCCTATAGGTACAGACTTTTGTTTAAATCCCTGTGAACCGAGTGCATAATTTTCCCTGATCTCTTTCTAGATCATCCACAGAACACTGGCGGCTATGTTGGGCTCCCTTGCGGCATTAGCAGCATTGGCTGTGATTGGTGATGTAAGTGTTAAACCGTGTCACATTCGGGGATGTCCTAGCAATTAAGCTTTATCTGATATTTCTCACCCTTAATAAGCTCTTCCCACCTTTTCCTCCAGGAACCATGCTGGAGGTTTGAACATTTTATCCTGAAAATGTTTTTCATCTAATTTACTTACATTCCACTCATATGATTTCCCATTTTACGTATACCCGAGGAAAGGTTCATGATGGACGAAGATGCCCTAGCTTGGACCCTTTCTCCCCAGCCATCTTTAGGGCAGCACGGTGTCAGAGCTCTCAATACCCCCTAGCAGAATGGAGCGATGATTCCTTCCTTTCTCCACAAAGGATTAGAGGGAGAAATGAGAGTGGGTAGGCAGAGTGCTTGGAAATACAGGAAAAAGGGCTTTCCTTCAAGTTATTGTTATTCAATTTGAAGGCCACCATACCAGTGATGACGGCAAAGCTGACCCCACTAAGGCTGTCCTAACAAGGTTGGTCCTGTATCTGGGCGATGGGTTTTCATGAACTCCTCAGGAACAGAGTCTTTGAAAAAGTAGTAAATACTCATATGTAGGCTTTCCACGAGGAATGACTCAGCCACTGGTATTTTTGAGGGGTGTTTTAATCATACCTCAATGGTAAATAAGTGGTGCAATTCTAGTTGAGGGCTAACAATTTGTCTGCAGTAAGAGGCAGAATGTCTTTACAGCTTGTTCTGAGTGTAGCAATGAGCATCTAACTAAGTGACACTTTATATTTTATTACAGAGACCTAGCCTCAGCCATGTGGTGGAGTGGATTGATTTTGAGACCCTGGCCCTCCTGTTCGGCATGGTAATGGCATCCCTTCCAGGGCCGTGTGACTAATGTAACCCAGACTCTCTCTTTTGCTGCCGCTCTGTCACTCTGTTAAAGACATCTTACTAATTCCCAACGAGGGCTTGACGGACATGTGTTAGCATGTGTCTAGCTAACTTCTTCTGGGAAGGAATTAAATGGTTGTTCTCCAGTTCATACCCTAGACTCACTGCCATCAAGTAGATGCCGACCCATGGCGACCCTGTAGGACAGGGTCAAAGTGCCTCTGTGAGACAGTTTATGGTAGTAGGAAGCCCCAGTTAGTCAGGTCTGGAATTTATGTCTAAAACCTGTTTGATGGTGAAAAAAATTGCCATCTAGAA